GCTGTAGGAACACTTGGACAATGGTTATGCTGAACCGGCTGTGGGTGCAGAATAGATAGTAGTGCCCTTCGTTTGGGAAGCTTATGAGGAGGTTGTAGTGGTCAGGGAAGGATTGGGAACGGACTAAGAAATTTGAAGGATGCTAGGAAGGAAGCGCATGATAGGGCGCTTGGTGAAAGAAGACCCTTTGTAACGGAGATACCTTGACTAAGGATCGAGGAGAGACTAGATGATGTGCTAGATCGCTGAAGCGCTACACAGAAATAATTCCGACAGGCAGAACTGGACGTGACAAGTTTGGATCAACAATCACCGAGACGGTGAGTGATGAAGGTGAGAACTGGACGTCTTAAAGTATCTGAGAGAACTGGAGGAGTAAGGGAGACGGATTCATAACTGAGCAGGACTTGGTGACTGATTGCCGGACGACGTAAACGGGGAAGGAGTAGAAGGGCAAAACTCGATTTTGTGCCATTACGTGCTGAACACAGGAAGGGATATAGAGTGTCATTTAGTCGAGCGTTGGTTCTAAGAAGGATGGATCAGCTCAGGGAGAGTAATGGCCGTGAGTAGTGACACAGCAAAGACCTGGCTTCTTTCATAGGCTGAGCGAGTTCTACGGGGAATGCAGAAGAGGAAATGAATGAAAGGTATAAATCTTGATTGACATGATCGTCACTTCTAAATTTGTCCAGCAGATGGTAGCAGGAGACCATGAGAAAGCCATGAACTGCGTTATCATGAGCTTGAGACTTAAATTCCCATAATACATTCGAATTGAATATACAAAAACTACTGAAATACTGGTGAGACATATTAATTTTCGGACTAGGCGATTATGCTAAATGCTTGTTTAGCGATGAGCGTGGGCTCTTAACGCCAGAGGTTGTTGGCAACTTGAGTTTAAGACAAACCGGTTCGCGCTGAATTCGGGAAGTAGAATAGCAGATGCGTACCCGACGCCTTAGAAAACAGGTATTGCCTTAAGCGCCGCTCTCTGGTGGCCAGCGAGAGCCGCACAAGAGATCGACCAACTACGCGTATTTAAATGAAAAATAGGCAGAATTACGGGAGCTAAACAAGATACTCAGACAGCACAACCCCTAAATATAAAAGAAGCAACAAAGAAACAAACCCTTATCGAACCAGACTTAACACCCAGACTCGTCCGTGACTTTAAAGAATCACATCCTGTTTAAATAAGCTGAAGCTGTGGCAGACAGCCTGAGGGCCTCTGGATTAGAGGGCAGGGTGTGCCGAGGAGCGACTGGCTCCTGGCGGAATGGAGCGATCTAAGCCAGCAACTGAGGCGAGGGCTTCGGGGCACGGGCGGGGAATGCCAGAACGAAATGCTGAATTGAGAGCCGATTAGGCTGAGATGAGGTGAACCCAGCTCGCTGACTGCACTAAGCGTTCGGTTGTCCCTGAGACGTACAGATTGACCCGCCCAGGGCGACATGAACATGCATTGAAGCTGGTGCACTGACTGAGAGCTGAGCGAACGGCTGATGAACTGGACAGGAGCGGGTACGTCTTACCTGGCAACGCCCTCGATGGGCGGGAGAGGTTATGGTATGATGAGACTGAAGAGCCGGCTGGGAGCCAAGACACGGAAGTGAGCGCAGTGGTCCGGAGGCAGCGTACGCCCGGCGACGAACAGGAGGAGACCGTCCAGCTAATGGAGCCAGTTCATGATGAGAGAGCGGAAACAGCAGGAGGAACCAAAGCAGGTCTTGGGGGGAACCTGCGCACGACTGCGGGGCAGCGTTGGAGAGCCGCAGGAATTGAACGATCGTGAGCCGGAGCAGGGAACCAGGCGGATGACGGAATGTGACCACGACATGAAAAGGGAAGATGTCCCGCTTCGATGCCGCCGATGGAGGCCGAAGGAAGGCTAGGAGCGGCAGTAGGATCTGTGAGGAGCCACTGGAAGATTAACGAAGTGCAGCCGGCGGCCAAGGGATGATTCCTGGACCTGAGCGGTGAAAGAAGGGAAGGACATCTACGGTGCTCTGCAGACCAAAGACGAAGCACAGCTGACGAGCAGGCAGATCCCCGGAAGCTCGTCTTCTTGAATGGACCAGCTTGACGTTGATTGGCTGGGACGCGCAAGGGCGCCGATCCTGATTGGCTGCAGCAGGGTGTGACGTGATTGAAGAGGATCAGCTGTGATGTAGATCAGCTGTGTTCTGTCTCCCAGCTTGAATTTACGCCTTAGCTCCATTATAGCAAGACAAACATGTTTTCTCAGAAAACAAAAGGAAATACAGTCAACATGGGCCGAGAACTTCGAGGTTTATTTCAAATTGAACTGTTCACTGCAGGACACCAAGGTCCTGCCCATGAGACAAATGGAAGAGCTGGATACATATCAGAGAAACTAGAAGACAACAATCCTGCTCAATTTATGACATCCAGTAATGATTTGAAAATATACATAGGAATATAGACACAGATATTGATCCAGACAACAGTTTCCTTGATTATTTTAAACACAACTGCCATTACTACACTGATGACAACGAAAGCCAAAGCTTTGATTCAGGTCAAGAAATGTCAATTATTCATCTCAACAGTCGATACGCTTACGCTAACTATGAAAACATCAGAGACTAAAAAAGTCCTTCAGTGTTACAGCAATATCTGGAGCATGGCTCACCTCTGAGAAGGGAGCAGACTTCCCACTGAGGGGGCATGAGTCCAATTATATAAACAGAAAGAATGAAAAAGGGGGAGGTGTAGCTTTGTACATAAATAATGAACTAAAATACAAGGTGGTAGAATATATGTCAATGGATGATGTAATGGATATATATTACTATTGAAATCCAGTTGGAGAAGCAGAAATATATCAAAGAGCACCAGCATCTGACAAACATTGTTTGCTAAGATTTATAAAAAGGTCATTTTGTGTGGAGACTTTAATATAGACGTATTGAATCCAAACAAGTTCAAAAGGACAGCTAGCTTTATTGATACTACTATACTTTAGGTTTATATCCACTAATTACTCAACCAAGTAGAAAGAATAGCAACACCGATTGACCATATATTTACATTGAAAGTAAATGAGCTGGACTTCTTACAAATGATATTAGTGATAGTGACCATCTGCCAGTGTTTGTTATCCTAGAAGAGGTTTGCAGAAAAGTAAACGAGGTCACCAACATCACATAAAAAAGAATAATGTCAGAAGACTCAATAAGTGGATTGAGAAATGATTTACAATCACAGAACTGGAAAGTGTTGTATGAAGAAAAAATACTGATAAAGCTCTAGATATATTCATCAAAATATTTCAACCATTTTACAAAAAAAAATTCTACTCTTTAAAGTTAGCAGAACAAATAAATGATTCAAACATACAAGATGGTGATAGTCTGAAAAAAATGTATAAAACAAAATATTGGTTCGAAAACAGTAAATTATATCATAATTTAGATACAACTAAATTAATAATATTTGGAAACTGTAAAAAACAAGGAAATAATGCTATAAAAATAACTATTGACAGTATTGATTTCCAAGTCCATGAAATCAAATTGTTGCATGTCAGGTGACAAATTTAGCTGGAAACCACAGATCTGCCAAGTAAAATTCAAACTTGCCAAAAGTGTTGCTGTTCTTAGGGGAATTAGATTTGACTACAAATCTTTGTTCATTTTGTACAACACACTCATTGTACCACATTTAACATATTGTAACGATTGTGTTTTAGTTCTGCTGGGGTCCATATGTATTTGATATAAGTTGCATTGTGATCCTTATTGTTATATATAGGTAGTGTTATGTGCTTCTCCTGTCTGACTGTGGAGCAGCAGTACCAGAACCGGAAGTGAAGAGAGTTTAGAGTTGGGTTAGCAGTGAAGCTATCAGGGAGTGTACCAGCTTGTTAAAGGCATGAGATGCAGCCTCAAGAATAGCAGCTTGTATTCTTATTCTAACAAACCCTGTTTGGCAGGACAACAGCTGCGGTGTTAGCGTCATTACAATATTGTGTGGAAGTTTGGGGGAATACATACAAAAAAAAATCAATCCCAATTCTACATAAAGTGGGATATTGGCAACACACAAACTTGTTATTTTTTTAAATCAAATATACTGAAATTCTGGAACCTTTAAAATTTAAAACTATACAGAGTACGTTACGTGATTCTAAATGGGATGATTCCATTTTTCAAGGGATCGTTGGTAACCCTAGTTGGGATCTCATGTCATTATGGGGGTGAGGAGGAATAAACAGGAGGAAAAGTTATAGTGAAATGAAATGTAAAATGTTCAGATAGAACCATATAGCACTGGAAAGCATATACTGAATCATTGGTAATTATCGTAATTGATGCATGGATAAAAAATGTTTAATAGACACATTATTAGTAATATTAATTCTTACAATAATGTCCCTTATGAGTCCCATATTTTTTATATACACAGTTTTTAATATGCACAGTCTGCGGGACCAATAATGAGTGTAAGTGGCAATGCACATCAAGATGTTGTTTCCTCATTAAATAGAAGTCAAACTAAAATGGAAACGTTGCTGTGATTTACAGGCTGTACATTGAAGATTATATCAAATGGCATACTTCCCCTTTTTTGTCTATTTTCATCTGCTCTTCATCTGCTTTTCATTATTATTTTATTATTTTATTAAGAATGACCAGAATTAAAGATAAAAAAATTAATAGTAATATGAACACTAGATATTGCAACTCTGACAGAAAATATACTACCCTCACTTCTGGAGTCCAGTGGTGGTATGTATTATATATATATATATATATATATATATATATATATATATATATATATATATATATATATATATATATATATATATATATATATATATATATATATATATATATATATATTGTTGCGGAAAGTGCCTCCACTGTAAGTGATAACAGCTCAGTGAGTGATGTGTGTGAGCCGTCCTCCGGTCAGCAGGGGGGGCGCTGCGTGCTGAAAGAACCTGCATGTGGTGGGGAGGAGCGAGTGAGAGAGATGGTGAGTGGAGACGACGATGGGAGCAGCGACTAACAAAAACTCTGTACAGCCTTCAAGTGTTTACTGGCGCTATTAAAGTTGACTTCCAAGCACCCCTGTGCCACCTTGTGGTTCATGTTCGAGGCGATTGAGGGAGTTAACCCCGAAGTAACTTCGCTTCGGCCCTGGAGGAAAATCTCCCCTGTGTCTTCCGACTACGGTCAGCAAAAACCTTCACATCTCCACCGATTACAATTTTTAAAAATGGGGAGAAATGAAAAGCAAAAAAAATTGAAAATGTGGAAAATGTCAGAGAAGTGCACAAAATGTACAGAAGCATTTGAAACTTCTTCAAAGAAACATTTTCTTGATGTGCAGAAGTGACACTGTGATTTGAAGATTAAACAAATACTTTAGATATTTTAAATTCTGTTCTGTTAAATGCACCAAAGCAACTGACAAAAATGTAATACAGTGAAATATTTAACATTTAAGTTTCCTTTTCTTACAACCCCTGTCATGAGGACATCAGTTTCCTCATAGACTCAATGCAAGTATTATGAAGTGACAGTCAAGAGGTTTAAGTAAAATGTTAAATATTAACACTGATACCAAGCGTTCAATTCACTTCCAAGCATGACTACAGCACTGAAATAAAAGCTTCACAGTTTTAACTTGAATTCACTTCAAGCTTCACTCATTCATTCAAATGAATGAGAGAAGCAAACTTCAAGAAACTGCTTCTACCATTAACAATTACTCTGAGCATATAAAGTCTAATGTAGACCTCAAATAATATTTGAAGCATCCAAATATACATGTATTAAATACCTGCTAATTACTTGAATACTTAAGCTTTGCAGTCGTTCCTACAGGAAAAATTTGCAAGCTACATGTAGATAAATTTCATAGAAATTTGAGATGCAGAAATTGTGGAAACTTTATTTCAAGGACCTTCCCTTCAAAGAATTATTTAGGGTTATTATTTAACCCTAAATTCATTTAGGGTCAATAATATTACTATAGAATAATCTGCAGAAAAATATGACAGTATTTTTCTATAAATGTTTCAACTTCTAAGATAACAATAATAAGTGTGTTTTTTACATTTTATAACCGTAAAACATTACATTACATTCATGTTTTTTGAGTTATGGTAAATTTATGTATTTTCTATGGTAATGTTATGCTTTGGATGCTACAGTCTGTAACTATTGGTATTTTAATTGTTTTTACTGTAAATGCTAAGGTTTTATGGATTTTTTTTCCAGTGTAGATTTTGCATTACTTGTAAACGTTCCTTGAGAGAACTTTACTAGGTACAATATACCACATTTCAAGTGTTTTCTTATTAAGGGATGAACATATTTTTTTGAATGAAAGGTTTGTAATGCATTCATTTCAAGCTCAGGCTCTGAAGCAAATGCAGCCTGGCGTATCCTCTTCAGTCAATGGCACCCTCTGGCTTCTCAGCTGGCCATCAACAGCAGGACGCAGGTAATCAGCTGCATGTGTTAACCCATCCACAAACTGAACAGCAACATGAAACCTCCTCTACGCTACCTACCACTGAAGGTATGTGGGCGTGTGTGTGCGTGTGTGTGCGTGGGTGGGTGTGTGCGTGGATGTGTGTGTATGTGGTGTGTGCATGGGTGTGTATTTTAAATCTTAATGGGAAGCATCATGTAAATGACTTTTTTGAGCTGTACATTATTTTATAATGTCATTTAAAACAAACCTGTGGTGTTGTCTTTTATGCATGTTTAATCTGCCTGGCAACCATTCGGCTGTGCAAAACACCTGGGTGGACCGAGTGCCTCTTTCAAGGCGTAGCTCCTATGAACTGCAGTTTGAAGCTTCCACCCCACAGAGCAGCCCTTCACACTGCACCCTCTGCCCTGTCACTCTACCGCTCAACTCCTTCAGACTAACCAGCAGCAATTAGCAAACACCTGGTTGAACTGCTAATGTGTGGAGCTCATTATCGGAGCTACCTCTTAGTGCAACACTGTTAAAACTGTCATTTTAGCGTTAATAGAGGAGCCATTTGTGATGACTTTCTGAATTAGTGTCAGAAAAAGCAGGAGTTTTTAAAGAAACAGAAGCTCAATTTTTAGGTGTTAAATTGCAAAGTAAAATTTATTTTAAGCCATACTAGATATAAATAGCATTTGAACTGAAATGAACAAAGTTACTTGATTGTACTGCAAAATGGTTCTATATGCCTCGTAAACACATAATACTACCCCTTTATGATGGTGACTTTAGTAGCATTCAGACAAATTTTATTAAATGACAAGAGTACGTTCACCATTATGGCATGTATCTAGGTTTATACATCGGAACGTGACAATGATACTGACATTAAAATCACCAGGCAGAAAAAACATAAGGACACACATACACACCATTCTAATCTTTTCTCCTTATTCTTCATTAGTTACACACCACCCAGAACTTGCTGAATTGATGGTCTGCAGAGTGTCAAGACTGTCATGGTGGACTTAGTTCACCTCAAGTGGCTGTGAATTACAAGAATGAACTGTGAATCAAGTCCATTCTTGTACGAAATGGCCATTTTATATGGGACCCTTGTTCTCTGTTAACGCCATCAAGGTTTGGATGCTGTGAGATGACTGCAAATCTGAAACAAAAAAGTTATCTTTTATATACTTTGTGCAATTAAATAAAGTCATGGTTTTTTTGTATTGCACCTTCCAGCAAAAATGCATCTTTACCGACTCTTTTGACCCAACTTCATCCCAGAGTAGCAAGGTCACAGCAGTAAAGAGTTTTGACTGAGACAGAGTTGAGGTTCTGCAATTGAAAAAGTCTAAAGACATCAAAAGTCAATGATAACTGTTTTAGTTCAGTTCTTGTGTTTTCTCTCTCCATTTGTCAGCTCACATTTTGTCAGAGACATCTTCCTCCTCAAACGCCCAGGGAATTTTAGGTCATGACATAAATTTCCTAAATGTTTGAAATTGTTTGAATTTTAGATGATCTGTATCATCATTTAATGCTACAAAAACAGAACAAGTTTTATGAATCAAATAATGCAGTGGTGGACACATTAAAAACAAATAATTACTAGTAGCAGCTGGTGTAATTTTACTGACCTTCTGAACTGTTTAGCTGTCGAAAGAACACATTGCCTTTGATTGGGGTTTTTACTAAATAAATGTGAATCTGTGGACATCAACAGTACTGCATATTGGTACATGAATATTTATTATGCAGTTTGAATTGAAGCTGAAATCATTTTTGTTCTATTTCTGTATCATACCAAACGTTAAGTCATCTTAAGCTTAGTGGAAAGCCAGCATGCTTGTGGAGGTACATTTAATGTTTAAGCTGTGTCGTATATGATGTAAATGCAAAACTACAGGATTCAAATATTTCTTCAACAGCATCAAACATAAATGGGAAAACCCACCCACTCTCTTTTTATGCAACAATATATATAGTCTTTTAGGTCCAATCTTGTTAAAATGTCCAGCAAGGGAGTGCATGTCTGTTCAAACTCATTTAATGTCCCTCTTACTTAATGCAGAAATTTTTTCAGGAGTGCAGTATGACAACAGTTTGTTGATTTCCGGTCATTTTTTTTTCCACAGAGAAGGCCAGCAAAACAAATGAGTTTCAAGATAGTAATTTCAGGGACAGAACATCTCCAAGAATCCAAATACTAGGATTAGGATCCAAAGAAAGTTCACAGACCTTTGATATTATCAGAATTACATCATTCCAGTAGGTTTGCAACTGTTCCCAACAGACATTTTACATCTCTGGCATTTGTCTGCTATACCAACATTCAATTTACTCAATGTATATCTATAATGTATGCAATGAAAAATATCACATTGAATTTGTCTGAATTTGTGTAGTTGATATCAGAATTGTATGAGATTAATTTAATAATCTTCCCCAGCTTTTGTCTTTCTACATGTAGCTTAGGTCTAATTCCCATTTTGACATTTTTGAGAACTTTTCGTAAGCCAGTGACTAATCGATAACAGTTCAATCAAATTAATCAATACATTTTATTTGTATAGCACATTTCAGCAGCAAAGTGCTTTACACCATAAACACAAAAACACAAAGTTTCAAAAACAATTCTAAACAGAATGTGTTTTTAGTTGAGATTTAAAGGAAGTCAGGGTTTCCTCTGTTTTACAGTTTTCTGGAAGTTTGTTCCAGATTTTTGGTGCATAGATGCTGAAAGCTGCTTCTCCTCTCTTGGTTCTGGTTCTGGGGATGCAGAGCAGAACCAGAACCAGAACCTGAGAGTCTGGAAGGTTGATACAACAACAGCAGATCTTTGATGTATTGTGGTGCTAAACCGTTCAGTGATTTATAAACTAACAACAGTATTTTAAAATCTATTCTTTGAGCTACAGGGAGCCAGTGGAGGGACTTTAAAACTGCTGTTATGTCTCTATCTTCCTGGTTTTAGTGAGAACAGGAGCAGCAGCTTCTGGATCAGCTGCAGCTGGAGGATTGATTTGTTGGACAGGCCTGTGAAGACGCTGTTACAATAATCAGTGCGACTAAAGATAAACGCTGTTGAAATAGAATTTTAAATTAGCACAATACTGCACAGGATAGTTTTGAGACATACGAAATATACTATAGAAAGTTAAAGTACACTCTACGTTCACATAAATTTAGATAAATTTAGATAAAGATAGACTACCTGCCGAACTAAAACAACTGCTGACTCTCTGAACTTATATAAATTCTTAGGGAGTATTCTACAGAAAAGACAGGCCTAGACTCCTTAAATCTCCATAGACAGGGAGGCTTCTGCCAGGCAATTAACAAATTCCTTAGCATGGTTCAAAAGTTCATTAGGAGCTTAAAACATTTTACAAATAATTTTATCCATACTAGAATTAAATATATATAAGGGATGTTCTTTAAGTATTAGGACAACATGTTTTAAAGTAGTTATTTTGTATTCATATTATTTGCATGCAGTGTATATTATAATAGATTTAGAAAACCACTTTAAAATATTTCTGATATTTACAAAAACAGTTTTTCTTTAAGAAGAAACACTTTAGTTCTTAGATTCAAACTTATAGTCATTATTTAGCATTAGATTTTGTTTCAGTTTGTATAAAACACAAAACACTTTCTAGTTGAATCATTTTGAGGCAGAGATAACGTTCCAGAGCCACGCTGTAAATCAAGTCGCCTAAAGGAGCCTGGTACGAGAAGAGCTGGGTGTTTCAGTGGGTCTCAGAGGTAATAAAATTAACATTAAGACAGCCCACACAAAGGAAAAACACACCTCCTAATGCATATATTTAAATGAGGAGAATACACATTCTTATAAACAATCTTTTGTTTGTTTCTGTTTCCCTTTCAACTCAGTTAATTGTTTCTGTTCTGTAATGTCTTGGACTTTTGATGATCTAGGTGAGATGCTTATTGTAACATTCTTCTTGGATTGATTTTCTCTGGATAAAACTCTGGATATCTGAAGTCTGACGTCGTATGATTGCTCTTTCTCACTGCATATTTATACAGACACAGGAATTCGGGATCAGAGGAATGAATTAACGAGCTAAATTAAGTTATTCCTCTTAATTCTTAATAACGCATGGATAAGTTTCTCTAGATCTGGCTGAGACATTAGTCCTCTAATCCTGGAGATGTTCTTCAGTGATAGAAGGCCGACTTTGTAACTCTTTATGTGGCTCGTAAGGTTCAAGTCCGAGTCCATCACTACTCCCAGGTTTTGGGCCTGATCTCTAGTTTTTAGTTGCAATAACCGAAGCTGTGCATTGACTCTAGATTTATAGCTCTAGATCTATAGCTCTAGATCTATAGCTCTAGATCTATAGCTCTAGATCGTTCCTCTTTAGGTCCAAAAATAATGACTTCAGTTTTGTTTCTGTTCATCTGGAGAAAGTTTTGACACATCCACACATTTATCTGTTCTAAACATTTATTCAGTGATTGGATGGGGTCAAAGGTCACCTGGTGACATCGTGATGTAGAGCTGTGTGTCATCTGCATAGTTATGGGAGATAATATTATTTCCTGTTATAACTTGAGCTAGTGGGAGAATATAAATATTGAATAAGAGGGGCCCTAGGATTGAACCTTGGGGTACCCCACATGTGACCTTTGATCTCTATATAAATACAAGGAATAAATGCTTTTGTATTGCATCTGTGGTTTACCAAAAATGTTTCAAGCAGGGTTTCTTCTGGTTTATTTGGAAATGTCTATACCATTTGGCTCTTAATCCAATATCTGATCTGTAGATATTAAAAGGATTATGACTGTGCAAACCACAATATTTAGATAGTTGAATGAAGCTAGGAAAGACATTATTGGTGTTGAGATCACCAACTGATCTGATGTCCTTTCTGACTCAAGGTTATAATATACCATCTTTGGGGTTGTTCTTTTCTACCATGATCTGTTGGGGCTGCAGCATCAGAACCAGAGACCTTAGTAGGCTCAACCACCCGATGAAGAAGGCTGGTTCTGTTCTGGTGACTGTGGAACCTCTGGAGATGATGACGCAAAGAAACTATCTTGAGAAGGCAGAGCATCTTCAGTCAGAGGCTTCTTCAGGTTGAGTGCAGTGCTAAAGAAGATATTTCCTCCCAACAGCCTTCACCATCTTCAATAACTCTGAGGAATCTAACATAATGAGTTACTACAACATTTAATTTCCCTTTGATTATTAGTAAAGTATTTTTGAATTTGAATTTATCTTTAAGTGGTGTGTTAACCAGCAATTGTATATCTAAATATAAAATAGAATGTAACTGATGCCATTCATGAGGTAGCTAAAATGAATTGGTTTAGTGATTGCGAAAGGGGCAGACTTAAATTTTTGTACCAGATCCACCGTACATCATTGCCTTTTGAACAGATCCACATCCACACAGTGCTAAACTGGGAAGCTATATAATTCTGAACTTTGGGAGGTTTAAACTGCCTGGAGCTCACAGGCATGCCTGCCCCCAGCTGCTGCATCACCTGTTTGTTTTCTTGCCATCGCTCATGAAATGATGTGAATTCTATGTTTAGCTTGCTGAATATTATTTAAACTGAATGAAAATTAAATGTAATTGAACATGTCATTATTATTGTTTAAAAACTGCCGGGTAAAGCTAAATTATGACGGAGAATTTTTGATGCCCTCAGTCAAATTGGTAGACATTTTGAATGTCAGTTATCCTCCAGCCCTGAGCTGCACAGCACATCTAATTCTCTTAGAGACAGTGTGAGAAGCTCGTCTGGGAATATGAATGCATTTAATTTACATAAAAACATCCCAAAGCAGAATGGTGTTGGCCTGGACTTGAACCTGAGACCTTTTTTTCACAAGTTTACAAGAGTAACAACTGTGACATAAACACATACAATACTGATTACCTGTTGCTCAAATTTAATATTACACAAAAATGAATTTCCTCCTTTTGCTGAGGAGGAAATCTGCTCTATATTCTGTCCACAGGATCACACACAAAAAGACTTTGAATCTCTTGAGGTCTCTGGTGGACGATGATAACAAGAAAAACTTATTATCTATGATATATCCTCAAATCCCATATCACATCTTAATTATGACCACCATTCTGTTACACATACAATAGCAGGATTTGTTATGAATGCTCTAGCCAGGCTTATGAAAAATCTCACTTCTCACTGTATCATCTTTCAAGGAATTGGGCCACTGGCAAAAGATTTAACAAGATTAGCTAGCTAACCAGTTTAACAAAGGCCCTATAATTGTTTAATGAAGATATTGAATATGCACACCACATTGTGTTCCATGAGCTAAGACTTAATAACTGTCTGCAGTCTAATGAAAGCTATCTTTTATCATTAATAAATAGGGTACTATAGGGGAAAAACAGGGCTGCTAATAGCATTGAAATTTTTATCGGCTCATTTTAACAATATATAAAGAAGCAACAGAAAGTCAACAAGAGAATAAATAAATAAAGCAAATATTCCTTCTTTGTCTGCCTCTGTCGTTGTGTCCATTGGCAAGACATTTCATTAATATTTCACCCACTTGCTGAGCTCATAATAGGGGATTCTTTTCAGTGCAACAATGGTAAAAATGTAGCTAAAAAGTTATTAGAAGAGCAACTTTGTGATGACTTTCTGAAGGCAGAGATTCAAAAAGATATATTTATGTATATAGATATATATGTATATACAGATATAGATATATAGATATCTATAGTTGGCTCCAGTGGTAGGAGAGAATGCCGGTCAGACCTGGCAGGCCCAAACGTGTTGCGAGAGTCTGCTGGGAATGTCTGGCAGAATCCCCTGTGAGACGGAGCTTTAACTCCCATCTTTGGCAGAACTTTGATCACATTCTGGGGGCCGTGCGGGTCATTGAGTCTGAGTGGACCATGTTCCGTGCCTCCATTGTTGAGGTGGCTTATCAGAGCTGTGACTGCAAGGTTGTTGGTGCCTGTTGCGACGGAAACCCTTGAACCCGTTGGTGGACACCTTTGGTGAGGGATGCCATCAGGCTGTCCACCCGGTCTGCATGTGTTTTATGGTTGTGGAGAAGGTGTTCGACTATGTTCCCTTTGATACGAACTGTCAGGTCTCTGTATGACCAGTGTCAGAGTCTGGTCCGCATTGCTGGTGTTAAGAATTAGAAAGAGGAATAACTTGATTTAGCTCGTTAATTCATTCCTCTTGTCCTGGATTCCTGTGTCTGTATAAATGTGCAGGGAGAAAGAGCAATCATACGACGTCAGACTTCAGATATCCAGAGTTTTATCCAGAGAAAATCAATGCAAGAAGAATGTTACAATGAGCATCTCACCTAGATCATCAAAAGTCCAAGACATGACAAAACAGAAACAATTAACTGAGTAAAAAGAAGGGAAACAGAAACAAAAGATGCATCTTCTGGGAAACTCTCACTCAGCACAAAGAGATTCGGACTTCTGATGTAAAACCAACCATTTTATACGAATGTGTATTCTCCTCATTTAAATATATGCATTAGGAGGTGTGTTTTTTTCCTTTGTGGGGGCTGTCTTAAATGTTAATTTTATTACCTCCTGCTAAAGAGCCCAAAGGCAGATATATGGATTGTCAAACTGGGTCTCTGCCGTACCAGGCGTCTCCTGAGCTAAATTTACGACCTCTGTCTGTTTTAGTTTTCTGCCTCAAATGATTCCACAAGAAAGTAGTTTGTATTTTTAACCAAGCTTGCACAAAATGTAATGCTAAATAATAACTATAAGTTGGATCTAAAACTAACTAATTAAAAACATGCTTTTTAATGCTTAAAGAAATATACCAATATGTTTGATTATATGTTGTAACAGACTTCTATAGTTTTTAGTGTTTGCCTGAACTATTCAACCCTGAGTAAAGAATTTATTGCCCTGATAGCCAATACACTCCCTGTCTGAAATGTTCCTTAAGGAGTATAAGAATGCTTTCTGATTAGGAATTTATGTAAGTTCAGAGAGTCACCAGTTGTCTTAGTTTGGATTTGTATCTAAGTTTATCTTAATTATAGACTAGTCTGTGTACTATTGTGCTAATTTAAAATTCTATTTCAACACTGGCAATGAGTCGGGCTCGTTTAAGGTGGCTCCGCCAGGGCTGCCGTTTTGTCACCGATTCTGCTCATTACTTTTGTGGCAGTATGCCCTGTGGGCCCTGAACGCAGCACACAAGTGCTGGAATTTAATTGGTATTGGTGCTTTTGTATATAAACATCATGTTGTTTCTTTCCATTTCAGACCTCGGTGTTTGCTGGCAATGCATGCCAGCCGCATACTAATGCTACACTCTAATCGCTGATCGATCCTTCTTGTGGTAAGACACTTCTCACATCCTTAATGTTTGTTAGCCTAGCCTTATCTTAGCTTTACCTGTATACCCAGGCGGCCCGTGCAAGCTGCCTGATTCTCCTCATTGCCAGAGGGGCTACTCATAGAGCTCAGTTGTAAGTAAAAAGCTCATTCTTTGAATACTTCTAGTTTCTATTTTTGACATTTATGTTTGATAGACTTTGTTGTTTGTCCTTGGCCGGCTGTTTGCCTGTTGTCCGGTTGTTCCTGGCTGGCGGTCTGCCGTTACCTTGGTTATCTGTCATCGGCTGCCTACCTGTCGCTCTGGTTGCTGGCTTAATGCTGGTTGACGTAATGCTGACTCCTGCCCTTCATCCAGTGTGGCTGATTCAGACTGGTTTGTGACCAGCTTGGACTGATTCTGCTAGTGTCGCTCTGGGTGGCATCTGTTGCGGCATGGCGGTTCGTCCCAGGACGGATCCTTAACTTAAACTGTTGCTGCTTGAGTTGTTGTGGATTGAACTATATAATTATGAAGTGATGCATGTAATTAGAATGTCTCCTGTATCTTGACAGACTTTCCGGGTGGTGGTGTTCTGTCTGGTTTGGTACTCAATTTTCTTCTAGTTTTGCTGTTTTGTTTGATGTGGGTTTTTTAGGTCACTACCCTGATTTGCACTGCCATCCCTGAGTTGGACCATAACTGTTATTTAAATGTGTGAGTGGTTTTAAATTGAAGTTGCCCATTTGAACCACACTGGTCCCGCCACACTTTCATGGACAGAATTTCTAGGCACAGCTAAGGTGTTGAAGGGATCTGTTTTGGTGGCCTTAGGACTGCATCTTTGCTTTTTGCGGATGATCAGGACATGATCTGCAGCTCTCACTGGAGCGGTTCGCAGCCAAGTGTGAAGCTGTTGGGATGGGGAACAGTGCCTCCAAAACCAAGGCCATGGTCTTGAGCCAGAAAAGGGTAGAGTTTCTTCTTCGGCTTGAGGAAGGTTTCCTGCCCCAAGTGGAGGAGTTCAAGTATCTTTGGATCTTCTTCACAAATGAGGGAAGAACGGAGCAGGAGGTCAACAGGCGGATTGGTGCAGCATTTGCCGTGAAACGGGCACTGTACCAGTCCATTGTGGTGAAGAGGGAGCTGAGCCAAAAATGAAGCTCTTGATTTACCAGTTGATCAACATTCCTACCCTCATCTATGGTCATGAGCTTTGGGTCATGACCAAAAGAACGAGATCGCAGATACAAGCGGGCAAAATGGGTTTTCTCCGTAGGGTGGCTGGGCTCTCCCTTAGTGATAGGGTGAGAAGCTCGATCATCCCGGAGGGACTCAGAGTAGAGCCGCTGCTCGAGAGTAGAGTCACATCGAGAGGAGCCAGTTGAGGTGGCTCGGGCATCTGGTCAGGATATCTCTTGGACATCTCCCTGGTAAGGTGTTTCGGGCACAACCCACTGGGAGGAGGCCATGGGGAAGACCCATGACATGCTGGAGGGACTATGTCCTGGCTGGCCTGGGAACACCTTGGGATACCCTGGGAAGAGCTGGAACAAGTGGCTGGGGAGAGGGAAGTCTGAGCCTCCCTTCTTAAGCTTCTACCCCCACGATCCGGCCCCAGAAGAGCAGCAGACGATGGATGGATTTTAGTATATTTGGTGGGCTTTAGGGTCATGTTAGCATCTCCAATAAGGCAGCTAACCTGGCATGAAACAGGAAAATGCTCAACACTCCATTGTTTATTAGCCTTAACAACATTCCATACTGCTTGATACCCCTGGATGTGACTTCTCTTCACAGCTTCCCTGGAGAACCAAAGCCCTATCTCAGGTTTCTACAACTTTCTGAGAAGGTTGGTGGCTTTTCCGTTTGAGCATTCAACACCAAGTTACTAGCCACTAAGCTGTTTCTCCATTCTCAGTGGCTCCTGGTCTGGCTGCTGGTTTTCCCATACCCCCAATAAAGCATTTATTGCTTCAATTTGTGTTCTGGCTGAAATTTTGGGTCTTCTGTTGAGCATTACAAATAAAGGTTAAATAACATTTGGAAAGTATTCCTAGCGCTTCACATTTTCTGTTACAAACTGTTTTGATTTCATCTCATTCCTCAACCCCATTCTGACACACTTTCTGACAATGAGAAAAAAAAAAAAGATTTTTGCCCATTGAATTAAGTCTTTGTCCCATCAGGCTACAGAATCTTGTTTCTTCTGGTCTGAGAGACCTTTAGTTGCCTCTAGGTGACCCCCAGACGGGGTGCCATGAAAATTGTCAAGTCATCTCATACAGGGCTGAAGGCAATTGCGAAAGATGTTTTGAAAGTAACTTAAAACAAATCCAAAGAATACTATTTAATATTTAAAGGTGATATTTTTAGTGGAAGATAAGGCTTGAGTAAATCATAGAGATACAGAGAAGCAAAGGTTTACTAATGTAAAATGTAATGTAGGGAGAACAGGAGAATCAGATCTGAGCAAAAAAGCCCTCTTGAAGCAAAAACTCCCAGAACAAAGGCTTTCCCCCAAGGTATTTGGGAGAAATTTCATTTCCAAAGTGAAATTGATATTGTTTTTCTTAATTTGCGAATCTATTTGCTTTTAGGACCACATGGTGGTGCATTTGATAACACTGTTGCATTTACAAAAGGTTTTCCCCAGGTACTTTAGCTTCCTCCCACATTTTGAAATCTATGTACTGCATTCCTTTCTCTTCACAATGGTAACCTGTCCAGAGTTGGTCTGTAATTATATTAAATCCTCATATTATGCACAGAAATAATTGGTTATAACATGACAAAATTTGAAAGAAGAGTGTGATCAACAAAAACACAGCAAACAGCCTTGCAGAGATGTTAGCACACACCTGTTCTCCAACGTCAGTCCTCAAACAAATCATATTCATGCTGGTAAAGATAGACTAGCTGCCGAACTGAAACATGATCTCTAAAACACAGTTGTGATTGGCCCCGTCTTTGTCAAGCTGAAAAGGTCTGCACAGTTCATGAACTAAAAAGACTGACCCCTAAAAGCAAACAGCAGTAGGGTAAGGGACATGACGTCTTAAAGACGATGAGAGTGAAGTGTGTTTTTATATGTGTGCACATGTACAACAGGAAGCAGCGCAATACAAGCCAAGATACAATAAATTCAACAATAAAAGTTGACAGACAATGTGGCTATTAGAAGTTGCAAAAACTAATTATACGAGCCTTTAAGTCCGGCGTGCCCAAAATCGGTCCTTGAGGGTCAGCATCCTGCATATTTCAGTAATCCCCCTGGTGGTAATAGCAACCTTTTCAACATGTCAATGTTCTTCTTAGGCCTTCTAACGAGCCATCATTGGATCCAGGTGCGTTAAACCAGTGAGAGAACTAAAACATGCAGGATGCTGGCTCTCGAGGACCAACTTTGGGTAACCCTGCTTTAAGCTGTTTACCTCGTAAAAAGTAACAAGAAGCAGATTTGACACCAAGTGGATAATGAGGTTGTGATGGACAGACAGTGGAAGACATTTTGCCCAATCTACAGGTTGCAAGTTGCCAGCCAGGGACAGAAAACAGTAGGATGCCTCCAAGTCAGCTTTGATCGTTAAGTTAGATTATGATGGTGGAAAAACACATTTCCAGAATTAAAAAAAATGTCATCTTAATACACTATGCTGAAATACAACTCCTGTGTCACTTCCTGAGGCCTACAGCAGAGCCGATTGACTCGCCAATCATCAGCTCCTCCAGTCCCTCAGGAGGCCTCCCTTTTCAAAATCCATCATGTTTTAACAAAAGATACGACTGATTCTTAAAGACAGCTGGACACTTTGGTGTTTGATAGCATGTTCTTACTGGTCCAGTTTTGCTTTGCTAATGTAACCCGCAATTAGTCAAAGACTTTTATTTTGGCGGGCCCACTTCCTGTGTTGGCCTAAACTCCGCCAGCCTATTTAAAGGCGCCTCCAGCGCGCAGTTGAAACATTGTCAGCTGTTCCACTGTGATCGTGGCTTGCTGTTTGCTTGGTGAGTTTATTTGATAGCACTGTTGCTTTTATATGTGAAACTTTGGCTGGATTGCTCATTGGAGCGTTGTTTTATTCGAGTTATTGGCTCGGCTTACCTGGACCGTCACCTGGATTCTGTCCCAGCTGATCGTGGCTCAGTACGGCCCACTCTCTCTGAGAAGGTAACTCGTTGCTGAATTTTGTGCTTGTTTTGACACGTTTACATGGATTTTAAGGCAGTGAAGTTAAAATGAAATTGATGTAGCTACACTTAAGTTGATATTGCGCAATATATTTATTTATTTTGTTTTCCTTCCTCTCACTCTGCTTGAGTAATTGAGTTTTTATTTTCTTAATACTTTTTGTTTTATTTTATTTAAATTATGGTTAAGTTAACCTGATTATTGAAATGTTTGTGTATAATTGTTGGAAATTAATTATGCATTTGCATTAATTATTTCTTTTGTATTATGGTTGTATATGATTGATTTGATAAAAACACTTAATGGGTTTTCTGACCTTTTAGGTCGGGTTTTTTCCCAGATGGATCAGATCCTCAGATGGTGAGCTAGAAACAAAAAGGACTATGGACTTTATGATTTTGGATATTTATTCTGAGTCAAATATCTCATGTCTCATTGTATTGTTGTAATTGTCTATTTTTTATACAAATCACTTAATATATACACACCAAAACCAAAACCTGCTGTTTCTGGGTTTTTCATTCACACTTCAGACTCTTTAAAAAAATCTACTGTTCTGACTCTGCTTTTGTAGCCGCAGTTAGTTGTTTAGCCCAGAAACGTTACCCTAAGATCTTTGATTTGCAACTCTGATTTTTGTTTTATTTAATGCTTTTGGTTGTAAAACCCTAACTTTGAATATTGTCAAATTTCACTTTTTAATTTGTTAAATCAAACAATAAACCCAAACTGTTAAACTTTTAATGTATGGGTTTCTTTAATGTTGTTTTTCCTTCCCCCTGACTGAGCTGGATTGTAACACCAAGGTTATTGAAAGTGAAGTTAATATCGC